AGTAGTGTGGTCTGGCCCTTTACAGAAAAAAAAAAAAAAAAAAATCTGTGACCTTTGACCTCAAGTCATATCTTCAGAACAAGGGGCAGTATACCAATGTCCTATGAGAGAAAGATAAAAAGTCTTACCCATAACCCTGTCTCTACCATTCTGTCTTCCCTTCTCTAGAGAAAAAAAATTTTATTTACTTATTTTCATTTTTGGTTTATCTTTCCACTTTTTCTAGTGTAAGCAGCTGGGGTGTGGCTCAGTGGTAAAGCGCTTGCCTGGCCTGCATGAGGTCCTGGGTTCCAGCCCCAGCCCTGCAATAAGTGAGTAGATCAATAGACGAGAAACAAGTGACACTTACTGCAGCTGCACGTCCAGGGAGCACACTGTCCTCCGCTGCTGCACTGCCCCTCTGCCTGGCATCTCTCCACTGGGCCCTGGCAGGCCAGAGCACCTCCTTCTCCTCCACAGGCCTGCATTCTGGATGTCCTGAACGTCCTGCAGGGTACTCAGCCTTTCTTGCTTGATGGATGCTGGGCTGTGTCCATTTCTTTATTTTCATAGGCCGTGCTGCTTTCCATGACATGGTGTGACTCTGGGGTCAGTTCTCAGAAGTGGGGTTGCTGGTCTGTAGCATTGCTGGGTAGCTATGCCCACTTCATTTTGGTAGAAGTGGTGCAGACCCTGTGTGCAGGGGCCATGCGTGGGTGCAGCACATCTGTGCCCAGCCCCCAGTCACCTGTGGAGTGTGTTAGCAGACCTTGTGGTCTTGTCCGTTAGGTAGGTAGTGCTTGGCGTCTGGTGTCTCTGTCACGAGCAAGGCAGGAGAGTCGGAGCCTCTTTGAGCTGTTCTGCTGCCCATTTTCTACAGAGCTTTTGGTCCTTTTCATCTGTTTTTAGATACAGTCTCTGAATTATTGATGGTGACCTTTGACTCCACTGTAAGTCGTAAATATTCTTTCCATTTGTCTTACTTCACTTCTTTTGTTTATTCACTTCTTTTCTGCCAGCCGAGAGTGTTTTTTCTTTTTTTTCTTTTTCTATCTTCGTGTAGTTTTCTCTTACTGCTTATGGTTTTGGGAGTCACAGCTGGGAAAGTTCTTCCAAGTTTGAGGTTCTAGAGAAATTCATTCATGTTTTCTCCCATTTTTAATGTTTTTTTTTTTTAAACATGTAAATTTTTATTTCTGTTCAAACGTATCAGCAGGGCACTCCTGACAGTCAGTGTACTATGTGTTGGCTCCTTGTGTGAATGGAAACCCTGGAAGGGGGCCCATGCTGCCCTCCAGCTCAGTTTTAGTGAGGACTGCCTGCATCCTGGCGTTGGAGGAGACCAGAGTGCTTATCTTCTGGGAAGAGGAATGGAAGTGTGGAGAGAACGGACTTGCCCAAGAACACTCAGCTCTATCCTGGGGTGCCGGCTCTTGGCTGGCTCAGAAGAGGAGGCTCATGAGCATCTGCTGTGTGCTGGGTGCTCAGCTGGACGTTCAGCTGTTAAGATGGAGGTCTCTTGTTGTCCTACTTTACAGGTGTGGAGACTGAAGACAGAGAGGCAACTTACTTGCCGAGTCACACAACTAGTTATAGGCCTCGGACTTCCCAGGGCACTTGCCTAAGCACTTTGGCCTTCCCAGTTGGCGCCCTGTCCATGTTCATCTGGAGAGGCCCTCCCCCTGCCTCTCGTGTTGATGTGGCACTGTGTGTGTGCACTCCCTCTGCCCTTCTCCCACCTCTGCCCAGGTCTTGGAGCAGCTTTTCTTGGTCTCCATGTCCCTGGGCCTGGGCAAGGCCTGGACTGCTCTGATTCTGAGGGGCCTGTGAATGACCTCCGAGGTCTCCTTCAGGGGTGTGGTGGGGCCAGCAGCAGCAGAGGCCCCGTGTGAGTTGCCTCGGCCTGGCTGTAGGATAGAGCTGGGGGCCTTGGGCCCTCCGGTTGCTGTCTTTTAAGTCACTGTTTTTCACTCATGCATTTACCCAGCAGTTAATCTAGCACACTTGACTGAGGCCTGCCAAGACTACCTCAGAGGCTGGGCAGCAAAGCTTTTGTCGTGGCGTGAGTGGGAGCCGAGGCTGGTGGGGAGGGAGCTCCGGCTCCTGAGGTGCGCAGAGCAGGGTCCCCCACAGCCCCACTATGCCCAGGCCTGGGTGCAGAGCACTGGCAAGGTCCTGAGAGAAATGGCCCACACCCTAGCCCTCCTCTTTCTGAGGACTCAACTCTGGGCCTGGAGAGGGAAGGGATCTCCCTGTGCACATGGTGGTCGCTGTGGGCTCCAGGCAGGAGCCTCGCCTGTGCCCTGGGCCTGTGCACTGGAGGCCAGAAGCCACGGAGGCACAGCGAGTCTTCCTGAGAGTCAGCAGCAGCCCAGCGCTGCCCACGTTAGCGGGCGGCCCTGGTGAGCCTTGTGCTGGGCCTTCAGGGGTTTTTCATCACCCCTGCAGGTGTCACAGTCTGTCCTCCACTGTCCCCAAGGCTTTGTACCTGCTTGTCTGCCAGGACCTGCAGTTGCCAGAGGAGTCCCTTTTGGATGCAGCTAGTCTGGTCTGGGCAATGACTTCCCCCTGGGATGGGAGGCACCAGCTGTCCATCTCATCAAGTTTGCCATAAAATCCACTAACCAGACACACAAATGGCCCCTCTGCTGTTTCCCAGGGACTGAGCAGCATGAAGGCAGTCAATCATGTTCCCAGATGATCGCTTAGACCATGGCTCCAAAGGCCAGCCTTCTACTGACAGCCGYGTTATTGGCAGGGATCGCCCATAACACGGCTTGTTTCCCGGCCATTCAGTTTTATGACACCCAGTGGGCTGGGCCATTTCTGTCTATTCTGGGGGAATGTATAGAGGTTTGCCTTGGGAGTGGCTGGTGTGTGGGTAGGGCATGCAGACAGTTCTGCTGCAGACAGAGCCAGGAGCCACACCAGCTCCTGGGCACCTTGCCTCCTCGGGGCCTTCACAACGCCTCCTGCATTCCTTCCTGTTCACCCGCTGCAGAGCCTGAGGGACTGAGGCTGGTGGGGAGCTGTGGTGATGGGCCACATGGAAGTTCATGGTTCTGGCACAGAGATGGGAGTTGCCCAACATCTGTGGTGCCTGGCCACAGCAGTTTTATATGGGCTGGTGATACTCTGGGGGCTGTTCTGTGGCCACCATGGAGGAGAAATGTCTCAGTGCACAGGCCACACCCAGGGACATGTGCTGGCCAGATTTGCTTCTCTCCTGGCGTCTGGTGCCCAACTGTCTCCAGACTTCCTTTTCCTTCTGTGAAGCTTAGCGATTAAGAAGGCTTTGGGAGAAGAGAGAGGGGATGGGAGGTGTGCAGAGCTGTTGGGGCCTGGGGTGGCCCATAGAGCTGGTGGTGCTGAGGTGAGACTGGACTCCACTGCTAGACCTGGAGCCAGTGAAGAGGTCTTTCCAGAGCTACCCTGTCAGAGCCTTGCTTCCTTGCCTCCCTTCTCACCAGAGTCGACAGTAACACTGCCTTGGGGTGCTGCTGTTCTTGGGAGCTGGGATGCGCAGGGTCCTTTCTCAGGTCCTCCCAGACTGGCAGGTAGACCATGGCAGCAGTAGCACAGCCCTGGGGGCCCTGGCAGGGCTTGGCACTGTACCTCAGCCCACCCTGTGAGGCTCAGGTGTGTCTGGTAGAAGCCTGGTGTGTGGAGAACACACCAAAAGCAAGTGCCAAGCAGCCCCTGCCGCCTAGGCTGCTATTGCAGGCATCTTTGGGAGAAGAGAGAGGGGAAGGGATAGCTGTTGCAGGGCTGTCGGGGCCTGGGGTGGCCCATAGAGCTGATGGTGCTGAGGTGAGATTGGACTCCACTGTCTCCCTGTCCTGCATCCAGGGGTCTGCAGGGTGACCTTTTCTGCTCCTTGACCACTTTTTGTGCTTCACGGGCCCACCTTGAAGTCACCTTAGCTGAAGGCTACTTCTGATGAGACTCAGAGAAGAGCAGTCATTTGTTACTACCCTTGCCCATGAATTTAACCCCAGGAACTGGCCAGTAAGAAACTGAATTGGGGTCCCAGGCATGGGGAAAGGATCTGCACCACTCTGGCTGTGTGACCTTGAGCCAGTCTCTACCTCTCTGAACTTAGTATTCCTCACCTGTCTAAATGAAGTCTGTGGAGGGCTGCATTTAATGGGAATTCAGGGTGTGCACTTGAAAGGGAAAACAGAAAACACCAGTCAAAAATTTTTGCAGACTCCGTTTCTTGATTTGTGAAGACAGTTCATTCCACAGCTGGCAGGACTGAGCTGTGTTGGTGCCACAGCCGTGTGTTGGCACCCTGGGAGCTGGAACTTCGGCGGCCTGGGCACACTGGCCTTTTCTGTCAGGGTGCAGTGATGTCACGGCATCCTTGTTTGTGAATGGAGCTTCTCTTGGTTCTCAGGTGGCCTCTCCCCTGCCCAGCCCAGGTGGAGTTGGAGCAGCAGAGGGTGTGGAAAGCAACCTTGAAGAAGCAGAGGGGGCACGGTCAGAAGATGAGGTGGGCCTCCAGAGCTGGAGTGTGTTTGCCACTCTGGCCTTAGGGTCTATCTCCAGGAATGCTTGCTCCCTGTATCACTGTCACTCCTCCACGGACAATGGTTCGGGACTTTGTGAGCTGGGAATTATGTGACGTCGATATTGATGAGTATCACCACGCCCTTGGGGRCCTCGAGCAAGGCCTGGGCGCTTCTTCAGCGCATTTTCATGGGGTACCTGCTGTTCTCAAGGGGCCTGTGTGCTGGAGAGGCTGGTGCTTCATTGGACCCACCCATGAGGCAGCAGGGGGACGCGGTCATGGGACTAGGCTGTCATGGGGGAGGCATCACAGAATAGCCCCAGGAGCTGCAGGCACTGGCCTGCTGGGAAGCCGGGTGTTCCCCCTCTGCACAAGCACATGGGGCTGCTCTGCTAGAGCGAATGTGGCCCAGAACCGCTTCAATAAACCCACCGCCTCCTGGGTGCCTGGGTGGGCACCTGCCCTGTGCTCCCGGGCTGCCCTGTGTGACCAGTTTCTTCTCCTACAGGTGGTGAGAGGCTACAAGGCAACCATCCAGCAGACCTTGGACATCCTCTTTCTCCAGGAAGGCTCTGAGTTCCTGAGCAGCACCGACGCTTCTACCCGGGACTCTGCTGACCGTACTATCATTGCCTGGGATTTCCGGACCTCCGCCAAAATCTCCAACCAGATTTTCCACGTGAGAAGCTCTATTTGGCAATGTTCTCAGTTTCAACCCTGGCATATTCCTGTATCCCTGGTCTATCTGGGTTCCCAGGCCCCTCCTGTGGGACAGGGTTCAGCTGCCTGAAATCTTCAGGATGGGACCCAAGAGCGAGTTACCAGCACTGTCTGCAGGCCCCCAGAACAGCGCTCCTGCTTTCCTATCCCAACACAGGATCTACCACAGTTGGGGCAGCCCCACTAGGTGAAGGGAAGATGGCCCTGTGACCTGAGAGGCCCTAAGCCTCCCACTGCCAGCCCAACCAGCCAAGCAGAAGGGGTGTCTTGACTTCTCTTGCTCAGCATCTTTGGTAGGTGGTGCGATGGAAGAGTTCGGAGCAGGGGCTTGAAGTAGAACACCTTTGCTAAAGTCCTGCATTCATCACCTGCAAGGTGGGCCATGGGACCATTATTTAGCCCCCCGCCCCCATACTGGTGATTGAACCCAGGGGCGCTATACCACTGAGCTACACTCCTAGCCCTTTTTATTTTTCATTTTGAGGCAGGGTCTTGTTAAGTTGCTGAGACTGGCTTGAACTTGCCATCCTCCTGCCTTAGCTTCCCAAGTAAGCTGAGAGGGCCTCTAAACCAGCTTATTAAGCCTCTTTTTTGGAGGAGCATAACTGGGGATTGAACTCAGGGGCACTCGACCACCAAGCCACATCTCCTGCCCATTTTTTTTGTATTTTATTTAGAGATGGGGTCTCACTGAGCTACTTTGTTCCTCACTCTTGCTGAGGTTGGCTTTGAATTCGCTATACTCCTGCCTCTGCCTCCTGAGCCACTGGGATTGTAGGTGTGTGCCACCGTGCCCAGTTAAGCCTCTTTAATTTTTATTTTTCCTGTTAGAAAATTAAGAATGAGAGTTAGATGCTATGGCCTTTGCCCATAGTGTCAGCTATTCAGGAGGCTGTAGCAAGAGGATCACTTGAGCCCAGGAGTTGGAAACCAGCCTGGGCAACATACAAGGCCCTGTCACAAAACAAAAACAAAAACAAACAAACAACAACAACACCACCACCAACAACAAAACAGAAAATTGAGGATGATATTCTTTACTACAGAAAGTGGTTTTGAGAATTAAGGGAGAATGCTCATAAAGAGCACATAGCACAGTGCTAGGCACAGGGAGTGCTGCATTATGTTTTCACTGTTTTTACCAGTATCAGCGCCACATTCGCTGTCCCCACTACCAGCACCAGTGTCATCACCACCACTCCTTGTCCTCCCCCCATCATCATCTCCACCATCACTGTTACTGTCACCACCAGTCGTCAGCACTGACACCATCCTGGCTCCCATCATCATTGCAACAGCCACCACCTGATCATCACACCACAGTACCACCACCAGCACCACAGTCACCACCACTACAACCACCATCATCACACTCATGACCACCACTGCCAGTTATCACAGCTGTCCCCACCAGCACCTGTCACCACCACCAGCACCACCGCATCACTACTATAGCCACCACCACCAGCACCACTGTCACCAGCACCACAGTCACCACCACTACAACCACCATCATCACACTCATGACCACCACTGCCAGTTATCACAGCTGTCCCCACCAGCACCTGTCACCACCACCAGCACCACCGCATCACTACTATAGCCACCACCACCAGCACCACTGTCACCAGCACCACAGTCACCAGCACCAGCACCACGGCCATCACTACTGTAGCCACCACCAGCAGCACCAACCCCATCATTACCACTGTCGCCTTTGGAGATGGCAAATCTGAGTTTAAAGTGCTGTCATGTGTGCAGGCCCCTTCTCCTTGTTTTGACGGTTCCAAGTGGCCTGAGCAAATCGCCTGCCTCCTCCCTGCAGGGGTTTCTAATGCTGCCCACTGGGAAGGAAAGGCCCCGAGAAGGGCTCAGGGGCACGCCTGACCACGGAGGGCACCTCTGACCATGGAGGGCACCTGTCTGCAGGAGCCCGTAGAGACCTGGAGCCAGGCTGATGAAGCATGTCCTGCCGCAGGTGCTGTGCCAGCAGCTCACGCCAGGGAGCGCATCATCCGGCCACCATGGCCTCTGTGCCTCTGATGCATATTGTCCTGAGGGCCCCTCACTTTGTCCTCTTGAGTGGGGTCATTTCAAGACTCTGACTTAAGTCTCACACGTTAAAGGCCAGGTCTAGCTGAGGGGGGAGTTCTTAGAGTTCTTTCTGTGGGGACCCCACCCCCTTGTGATTTGAACAGTTTATTCCCACTTTACCTATTCATTTGGCCATTTACCTCCTCATTTCCTGGGCCTTTTGGCTATGTGAGACCCTGGGTTGGGCAAGGCTGGGCCATGGGACTGGGGTTCACCATGGAGGTAGGGAGGTGGGCAGGACCACATGAGGCAATGTCCCAGGGCTCAAGAATTAGGATGTGGATATATTTGGGGGCCATTTTTAATCCTGCCACAGGGTTTCAGGTATCTTCTAGGAGCTGGAGAAGGGCAAGGAAATGAGATCCCACACAGCCTGGTGAAGGGACACAGCCCTGAAGACATCCTGATTTTAGCCCAGTGAGAGTCCCATCAGATTTCTGACCTCTAAAACTGCATAATAACTTTGTGTTGTTTTAAGCCACTAGATTACAGCGGCAGTAGGAAACTCATTCAGACCTTCAAGCCAAGGCCTGGCGGGAGGGTACCAGGCCTCAAGAGCAGAGTGAAGGCTGGAGATGAACACCCCACGAGCAGCCTTCTCTGACCTTCCTGTGGTCTTGCTGTTTCTCAGGAGAGATATACCTGCCCCAGCCTTGCCTTGCACCCAAGAGAGCCTGTATTCCTGGCACAGACCAATGGAAACTACCTGGCCCTCTTCTCTGCTGTGTGGCCTTACCGGATGAGTAGACGGCGGCGCTATGAAGGACACAAGGTACACAGAGCCTCCTGGTAGGCAGCACCAGGAATGGACTTGGGGCCCAGGGCATGACCCTCTGTCTGGGGTAGATTCTGCCTTCTCTTTCCTAGGCTTTTGTCCACCCCAGATCCTGGGCCAATCTGAAAGCACTAGGGAGCTCATAAGGACAGTGGTGGAGGTGAGGGCAGGAGCAAGCCAGAATGGGCACAGGGCCATCTCTGCATCAGCCTCTTCCCACCCAAGGCCTCCTTTGCTGGGCAGAAGGGGCCAGAAACTCAGTGACTTATCACTGAGACTGCTCCAGCCGGCTTCCTCTGGACCCTCCTTGGAACGTGGCCTATTCCAGAGCCTCTCAGAAGAACTGGCTTGGCCTCAGGGCTGTTGGGCCTCAGGTGTTCCTCTGTAGAGTGGAGTCATAATCCTGATGCACAGGTATCCTTGAGGACTGGGTGTGGCCCACTCACCACCCCCATGTCTCTACAGGTCGAAGGCTATGCAGTGGGCTGTGAGTGTTCTCCGTGTGGTGACCTGCTGGTGACAGGCAGTGCTGATGGCCGGGTCCTGATGTTCAGCTTCCGAACAGCCAGCAGGGCATGTACGCTGCAGGGGCACACGCAGGCCTGTGTTGGCACCACCTACCACCCCGTGCTGCCCTCCGTCCTCGGCACCTGCTCCTGGGGAGGTGACATCAAGATCTGGCACTGATCCCAGCTGGGCCTGGGGCCCCCTTCTTCCTCAGGGGAGAGAGTTTGGGCACTGAAATTGGCCTTGGGTTGGACCTAGGCAGATGCTGCCTCCACCACCTGCTGAACCTCTGTTTCCTCATTTGTAAAGTGGGGACAAGAATCTGTCTCAGGGTTTTGAAGACTACATGAGTGAAAGCACCTGCCAGGTGGCCGGTGATGCCCAATAAACGTTGCTTTTCTACTTCTTAGGCTATGTCAGCAACAGACGTGCATTAGCAGCTCTCTCCTGCCACCCAACTCCCAGGCCCACTGGGATGCTGAAGACAAGAGAGGGCAGGGGAGCTCGAGGTGGGCCATTCTGCTCTGCTGATCCTGAGAGGAGTGTCTCCAGGGCCAGCGGGCTCTGCGCCTGGCTCTGCCCTTGGAAACCCTGTGCTAGAGTTCTGTGGCCCTGCCAGCCTCACAGGGCCCCAGCCCCTTCCTCCCGCACAGTATGTCCATCTGGTCCCTGCTCTGCCCAAGACTCACATCCCCTGGGGTGACTGACTATCCTGGGGAAGGGGTGATGTGGAGAAGCAGGCCCTGCAGAGCCTCACGGAGCTGGGCTGGGTGAACCTTGACTCTTCAGGGGCCTGGGCATGTCAGTGCACACTGAATCCCACCAGAACTGTCGTTGAGGGGCCATGCCTGCTAGGAGGGCACATGCGGAACCCAAGGGCCCCCCCCACCAGCAGATGAGGATGGGGACCCCAGGTGGCTTGGAAGTCCTCCTGGAGGAGGCAGGCCTCTAGCTGGCAAGGAGGGCATCCTGGAGGGCAGGCAGCAAGGAAATGCTGAGGATGTGAGGAGGAGGCTGGGGCAGGCTGAGAGCCGTGCAGCTTGTCCACTCACTGCTGCTGGCAAGGCACCTCCCCTCCCAGCCTGTTTTCCATCTACAAAGTGGGAAGTCAGAGGAGCTGGCCCGCAGGGTTGCTGGGGGCGGGGGCTGAGGAGAGGGCAACTCTCTTGGGGTGTCAGGCACAATGGTGCCAGCTGTGGGAGGAGGCTGAGCTGGCCCAGGGCTGCCGTGTGAGGCTGTTCAGTGTGCCGGGGGGAGGGGGGGTCTCCTTGGGGTCCACAGGAAGGGTGTCCCAGACAGAGGAATGAGCAGAGCAAAGGCCTTGAGTTGTCCTGTGCTGAGGGCCTAACCCTTCCACCTTCATCCTTGTGGCCTTGTCCCCGGCCCACTGTCAGAGCAGAGCAGTCTATAAAATAGATGTCATGCAGAGGCAGTGCCAACCGTGTGCTTAGCCTGGAGTGAGGAAGCCAGAGCTGAGCATGGGGTGCAGGGAGAGGGGGGCATGAGCCCCAGTGTGCCCTACCATGACTTTCAGGGTAAATGAACTGGCGCCCCAGGCACATGGGGCACAGGGCCCTGGAGCCCTTGTGCTTCTGTGTTGGACACGGTAGGGACTTAGGTTGAGAGCATCTTTTTTTTCTATTTTTAGGCTCAAGAATGGCTGATTTGGTAACAGTAGGCGTGCCCCATATCTAGTGTGCCTGGCCCCTGGAACAAATGATGGCACCCACTGGGCGAGGGCTGTCCACCAGTCTGGGGGAGCTGAGACAGCCTGCATCATCCAGAGCCTGGTGCAGGGAGAGGGGTGCTTCTCACATGGCTGCCCTCCTTCTCACACCTGTCTTGGCCTTTGCCCTTTATTCTCCAGTCTGTGGCACTGGGAGCCCCAGGGAGCTCTGAAGCCAGTCCAGGTCATTTCCCACCCCACAGACTGACGGTTGCCTCCTCTGTGCACTGATGCTTTAGGGCCTTTGCACCCACAGTCACAGGTGCTGGGCCATTGTCGCTCCCCTGTAAATACCTACTCTCCAGCCCTCATTAGGGCCTTGCACAGACCTCAGGGAATGAGCTTGTTTCACGCTCAGCCCACAGAGCACCTGGCTGCACTTGATGCTGCTCTACCCCCAACATAGTCAAGTGCTCTGAGTTGGAGCTCCTGTGACCTCTGTCCCTGGCCTCTGGTACACAGTTGGTGCTCCAGGAATGGCTGCAGACCTGACCTGTGGGCAGGATGCATGTTGCGGGGTCAGATTGACCTTGACTTTGTTGCTCTGCATCCTGAGGCAAGCTGCATGACTACTCTGGGCCTTGGTTTCCCTTTCTGCAAAATGAGGAGCTGATGATACTCATCTTGTGGGGATTAGTAAGATTGGTCTATGCAGCTCCTTGTAGGACCCCTATGCGGTAGGTGCTCAGGCAGTGGCGGTTGGCAGTGTTGATGTCAGGCTGGCCACTTGACAGATGTAGGCATTGCACCAATTTAGGCCAGAGGGTGTGGTTTGACTCCATTCTCAGAACTTGTCATGGGGCCAGAGGTTGGGGGGCCCTGTTGTACCCTTGCAGTCGCGCTGCTCTCCGGGCATTGGCCTTGTCCATGTTGGGTCTCAGGGCAGAGGTTGAGGGGATGGGGACTGCCTTCTTTCCTCCTCCCCATTTGATGAGGCTCAGGGAAGGACTTGAGTGGCCGGCTTCTGTCAGGCTCATGGGCCAGGCTCTGTGGGAGCTGTGAATCATAGTTCCCAGGATGGCGCTACTTCTGAAGTCCCTTTCTTTTCCATGTGATTCCCCACCAAACCCAGGACCCCATGGATATTTTCATGAGTGTCTCCCCAGGTCCAGGCGCATTTGCTGGATGAGGAGTGGTATATAAGCAGACTGGACATAGTTGAAGGGAGGCCTTGCCTTCTTGGGGCTGCTCGCACCTCCTTTCTTGCCCCTACTTCACTGCCAGCCCCAGGTCCTGGGTCCTAGGTGCCTGCCTTACACACAGCACTACCCTGGGTTTCCATCTTTCCTGGAGTGTCTTGTGACGGGGATGACCACCACTCTTTGCTGACGGTGTCCTTTCTATTAGCATCATCACTGAATTGCTCCGAGGCTGAGTCGGGCCTCAGCATGAATGTGCCTTGGCACCACTTCCCCTTCACCAAGACCGCCCAGCACTATGACCCTGGGAACCTGGAGCTGGGAGATCTGCTCAGATCCAAGGCAGTCCCTGCTTGCATGGGATTGTGCAGGTGCTCTGCTTCTGAGCCTGTTTCCTCATCTGTAAAGTGGGCCAGTTGGCAGGAGCAGGGCACATGAGGCAGAGGTGAGGGCTTTGTAGGGCCATCCACACCTCTACCTCTGAAGTCCCTTTCTTTTCCAAGTTTGAACAGACCCAAAGTTGTGACCCTCCTGGGGCAGGGGGACAACTGGAAGCCCACTGTGATGGCTTCTTAGGGCCATCCCTCTGGGACGGGAACGCAGGTGTGGGAGTTGCTGTCGGCCTGCGCCTCTGGCTGTGGGGCTGTGGAGTTGGGAAGAACGGGCGGGTGTGCTCGGTGCTCCTGTCTGTTTCCTTTTCCAAGTGTGTTCTTCCAAAGAGCAAAGACTGACTTTGATCCTTGGCAAGGTGTTGGGGAGTTCACCATTTGCAATTTTAAAATAAGAAAGCTAAATTTAGGAAACAGAGCAGGAGTGAAGAGCGTGGGCTCCTCTCCACCCACCTTCCTGGGCTGAGCGCTCACCTTTATCTACCTTTAAACCCCCAAATGCCAGCTCCAAATCTGTGCTGGGAGCAGCAGCTTCATCCCGAGATACCTGCGCAGGCTGTTGGCTGCCTGCTGGCCTGTGCACCGGGTGTGGCTGCAGCTTTTATTCTGAGTGGGACTTGGGTTCACAGCTCCTGCAGTGTGACCATGATCCCCACCAATCACTGAGGAAGCCATCTCTGAGGGGTCAGGGCTGCCTGACCCTAAGGATTGTGCCTGACTTCCAGTCTAGCTAGGCCCTCCATAAAGTGGGGCCACCTACTGTCTAGAGGGGCCCTGGAGGTGATCAGCATCCTCAGGCTGCAGAAGGGGAAACTGGGCCAGAGGGGACCTGGTACTTTCTGGGGCGGCATGGCCCGCTGGCTGCAGAGCCCAGCCGTGCCCTGTCGAGTGGAGGTTGAGACATGGGTGGGTGGGTGGGTGGTGTGTGCACAGGAGGAACCTCACTGAAGATGAGGCAGAGGAGCAGGCAGAGGAGGAGGGAGTCTCACCCTGGCTGGCCTGGCTGCCTGGATAGATGGGATCTTCCAGCAGCAGCCATCCAGCTGTGGCAACAGATCAGAAGGCCTGAGCCCTTGGGGAGGCTCTGGGAGTATCAGCAGCTCCTGGAACTCCCAGCTGTCACATCTGCGAACTCCTACTCATCCCTCAGCACCCAGCAGGAGTCACTCCTGCTGACCCCTTTCACTCTTTCTCTTGGAACAGTGAGAACCCTCCCCTATTTGGATAACAATGGGTCCTCTGTACCTGAAGCCCTGGGCCCTCTGTACTTGAAGCCCTGTTATATCAGATGCCTCCCAGGAGAACCAAGTCCCTGTGGTCAGCATAGCTGGACAGCTGGGTTCAGCACTGGGGAGAACCGGGAAACACCAAGCCCCAGCTTAGGGAATTTGGGGAGAGAAGATGTGGGCCAAAGCTATAAGCCACCTAGGAGTCCCAGTGTCCTGCTGAGCCAACTTAGAGCCAGGAGGTTTTGGAAAGGCAAGTGTAGGTTCCTAACCACAATCCCCACCCAGCCCTGAGCAGGCGCCCAACCATCTGAAGTGCTCTGGAACAAGGCAGGGGTAGCTCCAGCTGTGGCTGCCTTTGGAGGCTGGGGCAGGACTTCAGGCATGAACCTTGTCGAGGTCTCCAATGAGAAGGGCCTCCCAACACCTGGAGAAGCAGATATGATACTCCTCTGGAGAAACTTTTGTCCTAGGCCTGGCAGAACCCCCCTAGTACACTTTCAAAGACAAGAATGAGCATGCATCAAAGATAACCAGGAACATAAAGAAACATGGCAACATGAGCAGGAACCAAAGAAATAGACCCACGTGATTCCACATGATGGAAGGAGCAGACACAAGCTTGAAATCAGTTCCAGGGAATAGGGAGTCATAGATGGTAGCACAGTGATTTGCAGGAGAACCAAACAGAATGCCTGGAAAAGGAAAACACAGGCAATTGAAATTAAAAACTCGGTGGTTATTTGGCAGCTGAATGAACACAGAATCAGTGGAAGACATCATGTGGATTACAGCAAGGTGACAAAATTAGGGAAACGGTTAAGGGAGAGCAGGGGGTACAGTTGGAGGGCTGCTACAGGCCTGCTGGCAGCCCAGAGAGAAAGAAAATGGACTGAGAAATATATTTTTAAAAAACAGTAGGGTGGTTTTTCCAGAATTGATAAAATACACCAATCTACAGGTTCAAGACTCCCTGTGAGTCCTAAGAAAGGCACCCAGGTGTACCTTTGGGGAACTGCAGAAAGCTAAAAGCCAAAGAGAAGCTAAGTGACTGTGAAGAACACAGCTAGCTTCCAGGTTAATGGCGAGCTTCCCATCCCCATGGGAGCTAGGGTGCTGCAGGAAAGACCTGCTTGCATCTGTCCCAGGCAAAAACAGCACTGGGGACAGCGGTAAAGTGGGCATCCTCAGATAATAATAGATTGCCACCAGCAGAGCCGCGCTCAGGGGAGTTTGAGAGTCTGCTTAGGTGGGAGCAGTAAGGCGCGAGAGGAGCCGTGTTAGGTCGTGGGACGGCAGGGCCAAAGCTGTGCAGGAGGGAAGAACTTGAACTGCTGAGGAGGACTGCTGAGAGCAGGCAAGGCCCCATCTTGGCTGCACGGAGGTCAAGGGGGGAAAAAATAAGTCACACGCAAGTACTTCCCACTTGTGTCTTTTATTGATGAATGCAAAACACAACACTGACGGACAGGCATGCATCACGGCACAGAGAGCAGGGGTCGGGGGCCTCATACATCTGAGGTAGAGTAAGGTGGCGCTGGGAGCAGGGTGGGGAGAAGGGAGCACCGGCCATACTGGGACGTCGTCCCGGCCCCACTTGGGACTAGGGGCCACGGAAGAGCTCAGGGTGTTGTGCTGGCCACACTGGGAGAAAGAGTCAAAACATTTCACATCCCGAATGGGTTCACTGCCCCTCCCCATGGACAGAGCGGTGGGGTCCCCTTGTCATCGGCTTGCTGGGTGTCTCCTCACGTGTGGGGCTTGGTCTTTCCCTTTTCAGGGGCAGGCCCCACGCACCTCGCCCGAGAAGTAAGAGCTTTGTGTGGAGAACGCCAAGGCTGCCCGGCCAGGCTGCTGGGGCCAAGCGCGTTAGAAAGACCCTTTTTCTCTATAAAAATAGTTTCACTTTATAAAAGGGGAATGCTCACCTCCGGTGGGGGTGACAGTGCGTGACAACGTTCTAAGTGGGAATTCCAAGTGGGAGTTCCATAGTGACGAGGCTGGGGTGGACGGACAGGATGGGGAGTGAGGGTCCCCCTCTCAGACTCTACTGGGTTGTGGAAGAGGGGGTGTCGGGAGCACAGAGTCCTCCTTGGTGGGGGCTGGGGAGTGTGGGTGTCTGGGGAGGGACTGCCCCTCTCGGCTTCCACATGGGTGGGGCAGTAGGGGGCGTAGGCCCCGGCCGCGGCCTGCACGCAGCGGTCAGTTGAGCAAGGTTCCGTAGAGCTGGGCTTTCGTGAGGCTGTCCTTGCGGCTCAGCCCCGAGCCACCAGTCCTCGGGAAGGCCTGCTGGGGGCTGAGGCGGGCGGCAGGGTGCATTTCTGGCGAAGCCTCCATGGAGCTGGGCTCCAAGGAGTCCCTGGAGCCGTGCTCAGGCTCAGGGCTGCTGCCAGCTCCACACAGCTGCACCCCCAGCCGGTCCCTGTCTCCCTCGCTGGGCGCATAGCCAGGGAGCGGGTCGGCAGATCGGCTGGGGCTGAGGCTCAGGTCGCCACCTGCCCGCAGGAAGCAGGGCTCTGCCAGGTGACCCTGGGAGAGGTCGTCGCCCTCCGAGAAGCTGTCGGCCTTGTAGGTGGCATAGAGGGGGCTGGCGTGGCCCTCAGCCTTCTGGCCTGGGCTGCCCCCGCTGCCACCGTAGTAGCGTTCGGAGAAGCTGCAGGGCGAGGCCCGGCCCGCGGTGCTGGTTGGATAGGAGTAGGCACCAATGTCCTCTACGCTCAGGGGCCGCCACTGACCCCGAATGTCTTCTCCAGGGAGCCGGGCGGACCCCGGCTTGGCCCGCAGGCTCCATAGGTTTGGGGGCATCAGGGCCTGCTGGGGGCCCGGGGTGGCTGGGAAGCGGAAGGACTCTGCTGGGTAAGGAGACACTGTCCGTCTGAATCCTGGGGCCACCTCAGCCTCCAGTGGGGCTGCCACCGCGGCCGCAGCCTTGGCGAAGCGAGGGCTGCCCTCGTAGGTGGCAGCAGGCGGCTTGCGGTTGAAGAGCTCGTCGCGGCTATTCAGGTAGATGGCCTGCTGAGAGGCGGTGAGCGTGCTGGCCTGCGCGTGCTCCTTCTCCTCCGATGTGGCACTGAAGCTGGAGTAGGAGCTGGACGTGGGCAGCGAGCCCGCGTAGCCCGGGAAGGCCTCGCGCCGGAAGCCAGCGGGGAAGGCCGCTGCCTCGGCCTCCTCTTCCTCCTCTGCAGCACTGTCCGTGGAGTTCTGGGCCCGCAGGAAGCTCACATCTGTCACGGGTGCGTCCACGCTGGGTCGCCGGTCACGCCGCCGTTCTTCCGGGCAGTAGAGGGCTGTGTCGCTGCAGTAGATGTCTCCTTTGTATGGGGGCCGCGGGGCCTGCTTCTCCACCCCATCGCGGAAGGCCAGGTCACGGGCTGAGGCATCTGACAGGTGGGAGGACAGGCTGGCAGGGTCAGGCTTCTCCAGCACCTTGGCGATGACGCAGGTGGGGACGCTGTCGGCGTAGGCCGGGTGGCAGAGCTGGGAGGGCAGGCTGCAGCCGAGCTTCTCCATGTGCAGGCTCACGCGCTCCTGGAAGTCCGAGGGCAGCTGGAACAGGTGCGAGGGGAGGGGAGGGTGGGGACGAGATCACAGTCAGCACGGAGGCCCAGCCCTGGCCCTGAGGCTGAGGACCACGGTCAAGCGTGACCGACAGGCAGGCTGACAGACACGTGAAAAGGGACATCCCGGGGTTCTCACAGCACGCCGCAGGAGCCAGGGCCCAGGATGCCGGGTTGAACAAGTGCCCAAGCACACGGCTGTTGTCAGCACCTGGGGCTCCCTGGTCATCTCTACCTGCCCCACCCATTCCCGACAGGGCAGACAGAGCCCAGAGTCAGCCCAGAGAAGCTGGGACGGGCCTGGCTTGGGCCTCACTCCCTGCTCCTGCCCAGGGGCTGACCTGCTCTCAGGCCCATGGGTTCTGGGCACCCACCCCAGCCCCACCCTGTGCTGCAGAAGGAGACAGACTCAGAAACAGATGCAACAAAGATTGAGGCCAGGGTCACGCACCCTGTGGCTCCCGTGCCAGTGGGCGATGTCCCGCTACTGTTTGATCTATTTTGTGAGCGTGTCAGGTGTGGCCTGGGCCCAGGGGAAGGGGGACTCGGACAAGGGCCTGGGTGGGAGGGCTCTGTCCCGTCTGCTTCGGCACCTGACAGGCCTGGTTCTGAGTCCAGGTCTGCTCTCTGCTCACCATGGCCCTTGGTCAGTCCTGTTCCCTGAGGCGTGTTTCTTGTCTCTAAAGTGGGACTGTCATTGTGCCCAGTCCCCAGGGCTGCTCTGAAGTGCGCACGCTCTGGATGGGGGCTTGCAGCAGAAACAGGAGCAGCCCCAGAGGAAGCAGAGGAAGAGGGGTGGGTACAGGGAGTCCTGGAGAGGGCCACAGGCTGTCCAAGCCAGGGCAGGCAGGATGCGTGGGGGCAGTGAGGCCAGGACCCGCAGGTGTGAGGAGGTCGAGGGGCTCAGGCTCACCCGGCATCTTCCTCCTCAAGGGTGGGGGTGGCCTCGGGGTGGGGCCGGCCCAAAAGGAGCCCAGAGTGGTCCTGGGACAGGGTGGGCCTGGCTGGGGCGGGGTCACGTTACCTCGGACACCTTATGGACCCTGCCGTAGGTCTGGCTGCACTGCAGCAGCTGGGCCGCTAGATTGCAGTCCTTCCTATAGAGCTCCTGGAAGACAAGAGAAGGCGTTTGGCGCAGCTCGCCCTGGCAGGTCCCTGCTGCCCTGACCAGCGCCGAATGGCCAGTGGGCAATGGGAGTGTGGGCAGACCCGGCTCTGTGGCTGGCAGGACAAGGACGGACTCCCGGCCTCATCCCTCTGGGCTTTGCGTTCCTGCCCGCAGGTGAGGGCCTGTTTGGACCTGGAGCTGCTGGTGTGTGCAGGGTCCTGCCAGACAGTCCTGCTGCTGCCCAGACGTGGCCCGGGGCCCTGCTGAAACAAAACCTCCCACAGGTGGGGCAGTGGAAGTGTAGGCCCCAGGCTTGTCCACCAGGTCTGGTCTCCCTGCCCCTCAGCCCCCGGGGGTCCTTCCAAGATGACCTGGTGGGCAGTGACAGGCAGGAATGAGGGTGGTTCCCCAGCCCCTGCCACCCTTAGTCTCAGACTTGCTGCTCATGCCCCACTCGGAGTATTGCCTGGCCTTGGGGCTGGCTCGGGGGGCTGGGCTGGAGTGGGAAAGGTGTGTGACTCTGGGTACAGACAGGGACTGGTCAGCCTCCAGAGCTAAAAACAGATGCAAACAGTAGGACTTAAGGGGATTTGGCTGACTTTGAAAATCTCTGTTGCATGTGCCTGTGGCTGCAGAGGCCTTCACCCACTCCAGACCCATAGCAGGGCTCTGACCATCTACCTGCCTTGCCCCAGGGTGCTCCTGGCCAGGGCTGCTGCCAAAGCCCAGCTTGGCCAGGACCAGTTCAGGCAAGGTGGTGCACAGCATGGGCACTCCTTCCTGCCTCCCCCATGTCCTGGAGCCTTCTGCACCCCCACCCTCACTGAGGCTGGTGCCCCAACTGGCCTGCATAGTGGAGGGAACCTAGGTCCGCAAACCCCTCTCCACACTCCCTGGGCCTCCTAGGAATAGTAAAATTGAGTGAGAACTGAGAACTGGCCCCTGTGAAGCCCTTGTGAGGCTGCCTCATAGAGCAGCCAGCTCTGGTACTGCCCAGCCAGCCTGGCTCTGCCATTGCACCCCCACCAGCCCAGCCAGTAGGGGATGCCATGTGGAGGCCTGGGAAAGTTTCTGCCATGCACATGGTCCCCAGAGTGAGGACATAACACTGGCAGGGCCCCTGGCTGGGCACTGACCATGTCAGAGGGTGTCAGGTTCAGGTTCTTCCCAAGGGGCAACAGTTGCTGGCTCTCAGGGGAGAAGCCATGGCCTTCTCAAGCAGAGGGAGCAGGATGAGGTGCTGCACCTACTAAAAGCCTGGTGCAGTTGAAAGGACCTGGTGGCCTTGAGCCCGAGCTCTGCTCTGCCTGTGAGCCACTGCTGGTGATCTGGTCACTGAAGCTGGCTGTGCCTCAGTTTCCACACATGCACTACCCACACAGAGATGTGCCAGAAGGGGTGGCAACTTACACAGAGGGCCTGGCCTTGCACTTGAGGAAAGGTTTCCCCATACCATGTTCTCTATGCCTGCTGCGAGAGCCACACTGCGTGCAGGAGTGGTCTGGGCTTGGGGCCTCCTGTCCCCAAATCCCCACCTCTGGAATTGCCTCTTCACTATCAGAGGCCCCACTCCACTCAGCCTCCAATCCCAGAGTCCCCAGATCCCAGGCTGCTCTTGGCCTCCTCTTACCTGAGCTCTCAGCAGCTGTCACCCAGCTGGCCAGCTTGCTGAGGACCACCTCCTCCCCATGTGGCTTGGGCCACCACGCATTCCTGGTGTCTCCCTCTTGCTAGCATTCACTCTCAGTTGTCCTTGCTAGTTCCAACTTATTAACTAACTTTGGAGAGTCCCCGTGGCCTGTAGCCTCCCCTCTCCTCCCCTGCACACACTGCCTTGTGACCTCAACCCACACGCAACAGGCTTGCATCCAGCTCCACACCCTGGTACCCAACCACCCTCAAGACCGTTCTCTTTGGATGTGCTGTGCACTTCTCAAATCCAAGCCTCGCTGCATCCACACCAACCCCTCCACAGGTGGCCGTGCCTTGCTCAGGCTGCGATCCCTGGGGCTCGCTAGACTCATCACCTGCCTGCACGCCACACCAAGGGCTTGTCCTGTCGCCTCTATCTTCAAAATGTTGCCAGGAATGAGCCCTTTTCCCCACCTGCCTGCCACCATCTTGGCTGCCACTGCTCTCTGTCCTGTGGATTGTGGCTTGGTCTCCTCTGACCTTCCTACCGCTGCCCTCAGCAGCCCCTGCACTGTGTCCTCACTAGCTACCAGCCCAGTGGAACTGTAAGTGCAGGCACACTGCCCCTTTGTTCAGGAGACTTCGGGGGCCCCTGCCTCAGACTACAGTCCAGATTCCTGGTGGACCTTGTGCAGTGAGGCTGTGCCCCCCACTCTCAGCTGCAACAGCCCCTTTGCTTTTCTCTAGGTTGGGCTGGGCAGCATGGCCCTTCAGCTGGAAGAAGTCCTCTCCAGGTGTCTGCAGGGCCTCCCCCCACCCCTGCCTTCAGGTCCTGGCTCAAGCAGCCTGTTCCAGAAACACCCAGCCAAGTCTGCAGACCTTGCCACTGGCAGCTCCTTGTCCTGCTCCTGGCTCCTCTCCTCTCTGCAGCAGAGCCCTTCTACCATCTCCGGGGCTGTGTCTGCTACTGTCTGCCGTCCCCYCTCTGATGTCAACTCCATGTGGGCGGAGGGGGGGAGTGTAATTTTTTTTGCCCGTGCTGTTCATATCAAAGTCTCAGGATAGCTAGATCTGGCAAGGGGTCGATCAATGCTGAGAGCATGGTCGCTGGAGAGTGCCCACCCATCTCATGGGGCCTCTGAGGACAGGCCCTTGGGCAACACTGGGGCGAGAGTCCAGAGTGCCACCACCCCACCTGGGGCCAGGAAGCTTCACCCTGGGTGGGATAACCTGGCCTCCCATTCCCTCCCTAACTCAAGCCCTCCCAGCAGAGGGTCTCTTGGGGATGCCTCAGCAGCATGTGGCCCACCTGTCCTTCCCCAACTGCACCAGCACTCCTCCAAGTCCTGAACACTTTGCCCAGCCACCTGTCCCCTGTGCCAGGTTGGGGCCAAGCCCCTTGGCTTGGAGCTCCTCCAAGTCAAAAAGGCCCCAACTGCCAGTGCTCCCAGGAAGCCCCCTCAGATGCCCCACTGCCCTCCGTGGGCCAAATGCACACGGCACTCACGTTGTCCTCTGACAGCTTGTCGATGGTCACCTTGGCCTCCAGGAGGTGACTGTTGAGGGCGACAATCTCATGGCTCAGTGCACGCTTCTCTTCCTCATAGTGCTGGCCCTGCGGGACAGGGAAATGGAAGGGGGTGGTCAGTGGTCAGGTCTAGCAGGCTAGCTCAAGGCCTGTTGGATTAGGCCTCCTGTGTCCCAAGAGCCTGAATGACATGGTGCTGGGGGCCCAGGTTGTAGGGGTTAGGAACATGGACTGACCCGGGTTTGAGGCCAGCTGCACCACTGACAAGCCCGATGACCCCTGGCAAGTCACTGCCTGCCGAGCCTCGGTTCTTATCTGCAACACAGGCCCACAGCATCCTTTCCCAGGAGTTTGGGGATGGCTTGTGTTCTGTGCCTCACAAAGCCTGCCCGCCTCACTCGACAGATCAGGAAACTGAGGCTCAGAAGAAAAGGGGCCTGTCCAGGGTCTCAGCAGAGCCAGAGCAGCCAAACTATAAGGAACCTTCCTGACCCCCGAGCTGGAGTCGCAGATGCCTTCTCCTTAGAGTCAAGACCAGATGCCCAGGGCCACCATTGCTATTGCTCCTGCCAACACACAGAGAAAAGGCAACACCAGGTGCTATGTGGGTTTCAAGGGTCTCAATCCCCACCAGGGCCGGGCCTGGGGAATGTCCCCAGGAAGGGTGGGTTGACGCCCAAGCCCACCTCAGACTCTCGCACCACCTGAAGGAGGGCTCCCCTCAGTCCCTGGGCAGCTGAGCTGACTCCATCCCAGCCCAGGCCCTCTGTCCTGCGGCTCTGCTGGCACAGCCGGATGGGCTGCTTGACCTGATGCTGGCGCAGCCCGGGCAACCGGGCCCAGTCCGGTCCTTGTCCTGGCAGTGCCTCCCACTCAGTGACAGGGGTAGAACCAACCCAGTCCCGGAGCCATCAGGAAGCGAGATCTGGGACTCAGCTCCTGAATGAGTCAGGGGATGCCAGGGGCCACTTCCCCCATGTGCTCAAAGTCACAGGCCCCAGGAGGCAGTGCTGGATGGGGAGTGGCGGCGGGGTGACCCTCACCATGCGGTACAGCTTGCCCTCCAGCTCCTGGTTGATTCTCTGCAGTGCCAGGTAGTTGCTCTGAATCCTGCGGCAGGAGGGAAAGGGTCATTGCTATGCAAGGTCCAGCCTTCCCGCACCCCTGTGGCTGCGCGCCTTTTGAGCAGGCTGGAGCTGAACTTCCTGTTTGCCCCGCCTTGGTTGAATGTGCGCTTCCTCCCAGAGCAGAAACCACCTCATTAAGGCTGAGTCTCCTCCAGGCTTTCCTAGGCCAGGCCAAGGCCTTGTTGCCCCCACCCCAGCAGGATCCGTCAGGTCCTCTGTCCCTGCCAGCTTGCTCACATCTTCACACAGCTCTTACAGTCCTGTTACTAAGGAAGAGACTGAAGGCATGGGATGGACCCAGGGCGCGAGTCTAGAAGAAAGGAGGAGTGGAGGCTGGCCTCAGGTGGAGGCTCTGTGGATCCCCTCCAGTGGCAGGGGCTGGGGGGAAGCGTCCATCTTCTACACAACCTTTGGGTTGCGTCCTCGGCCCCAGCTTGCCAGGGGAACTGACAGAAGGGCGGGTATGAGGCAGGCAGTGGCAGCGGCCGTGATGGGRGTCTGGCCAGGCTTGGTTTCCACACAACAAGATGGTGACATCGGAAGGCTCAGCAGGACGGGGCCATTCAGGGAGGGACAAACAGCCCTCCTGGCAAGCCCCCCTCAGGGCAGCACCAGCTGGTTCTCTATAAATATTTAAAACAAACTAAGCCAACAGCAAAGCTGGCCTTCGCTTCCATTCTGTGTCAGATGCGAAAGTGCATGAGGGGTGAGAGACGCCATCTTACGGGAGCAGTGRTGCCGCTGGCCAGCGTTCAGCCCCAGCCGCTCCAGGAGGGGCCCCAACTCTGCATCTGTCTCCTCTCCAGGCCCAGACACTGCGTCCCCATCAGGACCCAGGGTGCCACTGGGGACCCTGCTGGGCCAGTCGCCTCTGGAGACTTCGTCTCTGTTGTGCTGCCGCCACACCCAAAATGAACAGGAGTGAGGGGCTCGGAGTGGAGCCGGGCATGGAGAGGGCACGGGGCGGAGCCTGTCCCTGCTACCAGCTGACCCTGTGTTCAGGTCCTGGCCTGCTGCTGCTCTGGGCACAAGATCTGACTTCTACCTGGGCAGGCAGGAGCCTCCTGCGGCAGCTCCCCCAGGGGACTCACCTGCGAAGCTTCTCGGTGACCTTCTCTAGCTCCTCCTGCGCGCGCCGCAGCTCGATCTCCAGGTAGTGGCGCGTGGAGTCGAACTCCGTCTCCAGCTTCTCCAGCTTGTGCGTGGTGTAGGACAGCCGCTTGCGCAACTCTCCCTTCTGCTCCTGCAGCGCACTGCAACGACATGCCGCGGTGGCCGGCCGCGCACTGAGCGGGCAGCCGGGCCACGCGGGCAGCTGACCAGCTGACGTGTGCCGTGGGTGCATGCCACGCCCAGGTCGCACTCTCTCACTCGTGTGCACACACACAGTTGCCCCCAGCAGCGGCACTGAGGACTTCCAGCCCCAAGGGTCAGGGGCTCTGAGCCAAGTGCCTCTGCTGCAAGTAAGTCCCCATGCGGTCACCTTGGAGTGGAAACTGACCCCAGAACCTTGCCAGTGTGTGTGGGTGGCTTAAAGGGCCCTGGTACAGGGAGTACCATTGGCCCCCAGGCCTCCCTTGGGAGCTGGCCAGGGATGCCAAGGCCAAGTTGGCAGTGTCATGCTTGAGACCTGACTTCCCTTCCCCTGATTGACGGGTGGCCCCAGAATACTGTGTCTACCTCTCTGGGCCAAAGAGAGGTTTGAGGTGACACCCCATGCCCAGGCAGGACCCAGCAGGGTTGGCACACAGCACTGGAAGCTCAGCAGTGCCCTGCCTGCTCAGGTCCCCTTGGGAAGCCTTCCTGAAGCCAGGGACGCTCTTGGGGCTCCACCTTCCCATAGACTGGGGGCTCCCTAGGATGCCACCTGCTTGCTCACGGCACCACCCAAGACACCAGCTACCCTTCTGAGCCGTCAGACAAGGATTACTTGAAGTAAAGTTGGGCACCAGGCAGGGGCTAGTGGGTAACCTGCCCCAGGAGCTGGTCGTGAGCTCCCAGAAGGGCAGGGGCCACCCGGCTATCCCCGGGGTCAGGGTAGGGGCCTGTGCACCGGTGCTCTGGAGGGGGGCAACTTCTGGCAGGTTTGCTGTGGGGTGCACAGCAACATCCTGACCGTGGGGGGCTAGAGGAGGTCAGGTGTCCTGCTGGAGACCCCGCAGGGCCAGGAGCCTCGACTGCTCAGATGTGGGCAAGAGCCTGTGTCCTCAGGACCTCCCCGACCCAAACCCAGCAAGGGAGGGATGTGCAGGGACTGGGGAGGGTTTCTCCGACTCCCAGGAACAGGACCGCTTCCCCGGCCCCATCAGGAGCTTCCTCCGTCTCTGGCCTGCAAGTGAACCACACGCCTTGCACCCGTGAGCCTCCTTTAAGCATTATTGGATTCCTGCCCAGGTCTACATTTTTAAAAATAAATAAAAATAAAGAGTTGCTTACATGCTTGAGAATTTCACAGAAGGGCGGGGCGGGTCTTCCCAAGAGTCAATTCCCCCAAAGAGGGGACAGAATAACAGGGGAAGCTCTCAGGCAAGGCCCTCAGCTGGGGGAGCCCACGCAGGCTGGCTGCTGCTCCACGGTCTTGCCCGCCTCCTCCAGGCAGCCTTCCTGGACTGCCCAGCCTCTAGCATCCTGCGACCAGACTCCAGCTGGCCCCACTGCCCCTATTTTCTTCCCCGTCAGGGCAGCAGACTTCCTGGGTGCCCACATCACCAGGGCTCCCCACTGTAGACAGTGTCTGGTTTGGGGCAGGCAGCAGCCCCTGAGGTTGGATGTTCCCTGAAGCAGCTCTCATTACAGGCTCGGCCTCCTCGAGAAGAGGGAGGGCCTTGTCCATTGCTCCAGTGGCCATGTCAGGCCTCACTCCTGACCCCTCCCCCAGCCTCCCCTGAGTGCTCTCTGACCAGTTCTGGGGCCTCATTCTTCTGAGGCCAGCAGTTCACTGTGCCCTCACCCAGCCCTGACCCATTTCAGGGGCCTGGTCATGGGACTCCTCAGAGCTGGTTGCCCTCCCTCCCCCATCTTGGCTACCTTGTTCTTGGGCACTACTGTCATTGGGGCTGGCCAGCCCCTGTCCCCCAGCCACTTGGCGTGCTTGCCCTCTTCCCCACCCGACCCTGGGACTTTACAGCAGGGAGCAGTGTTCTGGCCCACAGCGGAGAGGGCGGTGAGCAGGAGCGCGGGCCGATGGCAGGCCACCCCAGGGCGCATCTCCGGAGCCTCAGTTCACCTGGGCCTCCCAGGGACCTTCTGCACACTGGGTGACTTCCTCTCTCATGGCACCCCAGCCCCTCATGCCCGCCACCTCAAGCTGCACCCAGGCCAGTCCTTGGCTGCAGAGCCCACACCGTGGCCACCTCCACGCCCCTTGCTGCGGGAGCCTCCAACTCAGGCTCCTGACATGGTTCCCAGCCCCTGCCACTGTGAGGCCCCAGGCTCACCCACACTGGTGTCCCCACCACGTCTCCTCTCCCTCCCTCTGGCTCCACCACACCCACAGACACCGCCCTCGCCCAGGCTGTTCTGCAAAGCCGGGGGCCATTGGAGGCCAAATGTCTACATCTAGCCCCACCCGGACCCCTCCTGGTCTAATCTCCAGCCGCGTCTCTTGGGCTCCACCCACCCCGTGCCCAGCAGCCAACGGACCCCTGTGCTTCTCACTCAACTCTCCAGTGCAGACACAGAGACCACCTGTTGACGGCTACCTGCACCCCCACGTGGGGAGGGCCATGGGACCCTTCTGCTGCCCTTCACAGCTGACTCCAATCCTAGAGGCTCAGTTTCTTTAGAAGGTCTGGACAGGAGGATACTGGGTGGTCACCTGGGTCTTGCCACAACCCTGCCTCCTGTCCTCCCTCTCAGGGCACTAACCCGAGCCCCACCTGGCTGTAGCCTCAGTTTCCACAACTGTAAATGGGGTTAGTTGCCCACACATGGGCGCAGGTCTGTCACTGGCCCCGGTTTGGTGGGCACTAAGCCATTGGCATACAGGGATAAGGCTGGGCTGGCGCTGTGGCAGCAGGGCCTCCAGGCCACTGAGAGCCTGGGGGCAGTGCCGGGGCCCGGGGTCCTGCCTTGGGTCAGGGTACGGCCTGGCGGGTCCCCAGTGTCCAGAAATAGGCCTCAGCCAACGCGTGGGGAAGGGAGCGTGCAGTGCCAGCAGCAGCCAGTCGTGGTCCTCCAGGTTGGGGCCACCCTCCTGTGCCAGCCCTGTGGAGCCTGCCACCTGCGGGGCCACCTCGCTTTGATCTGGGCCCATGGAGCTGTCCCTAACCTGGCAGTGAGAGTGGGCTCAGGGGTTCCCCCCTGCCATAGCAGTCCCTGGACAGGAAGAGTCCTGGAGACGTCTCCCCTCACGAGGGCCACTCCTGGCCACTCACAGGAGCCCGAGCCCAAGGTCAGAGCCCGGGTGTGGTGACAATGTTCTGCTGGCCTGGGAGACCTCTTCTCTCTCAGCCTCCTCCTCTGTCTTGGGGAGTCAGACACAGACATGGGATGGATGTCCGGGGACAGACGCAGACACCAATGAATGGGATGAGGGAAGACAACAGGTGTGTTACCTGTCCCAGAGCGAGGGTGAGGACCTGGTCAGGCGGCCCTGCAGGACTCGGGGCTGCCCGAGGCACGAGGGCACCCAGGGGCTGCGCAGCCTGTGGGCGAAGAGGACAGAGCTGCTCAGAACAGGTGGGACAGGCTGGGGGCATGGGGAGGCCCGCGGGGCCACCATCAGGCACCAACCATGGCCCTCGCTGAGACCCTAAGAGATGGGAAATCCATGTGTGGTGCACCCCAGGGGAAGACTCCTGTCTTCAAGGTGGCGGAGGCCGAGGGATTCAGGAACCTCAAAGAGGGGTCCCAGCCGGTGCACCTGTCAGAACTCTCTGGTCACTCTAAAGGGTCTGTGGCATTGAGTCCCAGTGTGGCAGGCCCCTGCCTGCAGGCCTCAGAGGGAGTCATATAGTGGAACAGTGTGTCCCCTCCCCTGCTCTGGGGCTGCCGGTGCTTGTCCTGTTACGGAACTGGGTTCCTGTCTGGCTACTTCCAGTGTGCAAGACCCACTGGTCAGAGACAGGATGCTGGAGAGACAGGTGGTCCCTTTTCTCTGCAGGACTGTCCTGTGGGCTGTGGGACCTGGGGGTGGTTAGAGGATCAGGACCCACTTCACCTCCCCTGGGATCTGGCTGAGCTCCCCGGATATAAGGCCATGGTCTATGGCCATAAGAATAAGGCCAGTCTAGACTGGACAATGTGGTGTGGGAAAGAGTACAGGTCTGGCCTGGCCTGTTGGGGCTGCCCTACTGGAGGACAGCAGGACACACACCAGCCCCAGAGGATCGCTGTGTGGCCATCCCAGCTGAGGGGCTTGTAGGGACGTGGGTGCCGGGACACTCAGGGCTGACTTGCTGGCTCTGAAGCCAAAGTGGGAGGTCATCCCTGCTAAGAGGGGCCAGTTCCACCACCAAAGACTCTGATGCTGTCCAGAAGCCAGGCCTTGAGAGAACGTAGGCAGAGGCGCGAGCCGGCGAGCGTGGCATAATCCTGTCTAAGTGAGCGACTGCTGCAGAGCATCGTGGAAGGCAGGATATGTCAATTTGTTACGCCTGGGTGGTGGAATGCTGGGTAATTGAAAAAAAAATTTTAATACTTTTCTGGATTTCTCATATCTTCCATGGATGAAAAATTAGAAAAAAATTTACAGAGGATCAAATTTGGACACCAAAAAAAAAAAAAAAAAAATCACCATAAGCCATGATTTGATGGACTGAGGGGGGCAGCAGAAGCCAGGGGAAACTCTTGGCCACAAGCCTCACCATGGCCACTGCTTCTCTGGGCCTGGGTTTCTTCACCTGTGAAATGGGCCCCTTGCCCCGGGGTTCCTGAGCAGGAGTCAGGAAGGTGCTGGAGAGCAGCAGGTGCTTGGTCTCTGGTTGGACTAGGCTTGGGCATCCTGTCCCAGGTCCACCCTTGGCCAACAGCCCTAATGCTGCTAAGCCAAAGGGGCAGGCTCCCTTTGGAGCAGTCAGAACCAGCTGGTCAGCCCTTGGTGACTTGAGAGAGGCCAGCTGTGGCCACAGGGGTCCTCCTCCTAGTCTGCATTCTTGAGGTCCCACTGACAGAGCCGTCCGCAGAGACGCTCCTGGTGAGGTCTCAAAGGAGTGGGGCAGCTTGAAGTTGGACAAAGGCTGGGACCCAGGGGGAAACTGAGGCCCAGGGAAGGGGTAGGGCTGGTGAGGTGCCCCAAGGTCTGACTCTGGACGCTCACAGGTATTCATTAAACCCTGAGACCACCCACTCTTGCTCTGAGCCAGGGAAGACATGGAAATTCTCCTTCCTGCCTGCATGTGGGGG